ACCTCTAGAGGGTCTCCTACACCTGGAAGACACTTAGAAAGTGTTTTATGTCTAAAGGACCTCTAGAGTATACCCAAAAGACCTCTTAAAACTCTTCTGGATCTCTGAAAGATCTTTTATGTCTAGAAGACCTCCAGAAGGTTTTCAATGTCTAGAAGACCTCTAGAAGGTCTTCAATGTCTAGAAGATCTCCAGAAAGTCTTCTCTGGCTAGAAGGCCTCCAGAAGATCCCATATGTCTAATAGACCTCCAGAAGATGTCATAAAGGTCCTTTGTGTCTAGAAGCCCTCCAGAAGATCTTCTGTGTTCAGAAGAGCTCTAAAAGGTCTTTTGTGTCTAGAAGACCTCTAAAAGTCTACTATGCCTCAATGACCTCTAACAGGTCCTTTGTGTCGAAAAGACCTCTAGAAGGTGATTTATACCTGGAATACATCTAGAAGGTCTTCTAGGTCTCAATGAACTATGTCTAAATGACCTCTAACAGGTTCTTTTGTGTCGAGAAGACCTCTAGAAGGTGGTTTATACCTGGAATACCTCTAGAAGGTCTTCTAGGTCTTCAAGAACTCTAGAAAGTCTTCTGTGTTCAGAAGTGCTCGAAAAGGTATTTTGTGTCTAAAGGACCTCTAGAAGGTCTTTTGTGTGTCTAGAAGATCTCTAAAAGATCTCCAATACCTGGAAACCCTCTAGAAAGTCTTCTATGACTAAGAGACCTCTAGTACGTCATTTGTGTATAGGAGACCTCTAGAATTCCATCTATGCCAAAAATACCTCCATAAGGTCGTCTATGCCTCCAAAAGACCCCCAGAGGGTCTTCTATGTCTGGAAGATCTTCAGAAAATCTTCTAGGTCTAGAAGATCTCCAGGGGTCTTTTATGTTCAGAAGACCTCCAGGGGATATTCTATGTCTAAACGGCTTCCAAAAGGCTTTCTATGTTTAGAAGACCTCCAGGGGTTCTTCTATGTTTAGAAGACTTCAGGGTGGTCTTCTATGTTTAGAATACCTCAGGGGGGTCTTCTATGTTCGAAGAGCTCTAGAAGGTATTATGTGTTTAGAAAACCTCTTCTAAGTCTAGAAATCCACTCATCTATGTCTAGATGACTTCCTAGATCCTATTTTCTGTAGAAAACCTCTGGAAAGCTTTTTTCTTCATTGTTGGAGAGTCTTCAGGGCATGGAATTCTTCCAGAATCACTTGTCTAAATAGAAGACTTCCAAAGGACCTGTTGTTTTTTGAATATTTTTTCCAAAAAAGTTCCTTAACAAAATTTTAAATTGTGTCCTTTAAGATGTCCTTGGCAATTTTCAAACCAAAAATTACAACCAAAATTATTTCTAACAAAAAAAAATAAAAGAAATTATATTAAAATATATAAAAGAAGTGAACACAACACTGTACATGAAATTCTAAATTTATTAAAATGGAAAAAAACAAGAAAAACAAAAATCTGTAACAAATTCCAAAAAACCACAAATCAAGTAAAACCAAAAAAAAAAAAAAAAAAAACAAGACAAACAACAACAATTAGATTTACTTAGATTTAATTACCAACAAACAAATTATATATACATAAAACTATATCTATATATAAATTAGAAACAAAGAAATCAGATAAAATAAAAAAGTATGTTCTAAATTTTTTTGAAATCGTAAAATAAAAAACCCAAAACTAACAAACAGCAAATATTACAAAAAAACCAACTACATTTCTTAGAGCACTTTCGTATTTATAACTAACTAACTATAACTAATGTTTTTTTTTTTCAAAGTATTTTAAAAGCAAATAAAAACTAAATAAATAAATAGTGAATATATATAGAGAAAAAAATTGAACTATTTTAAAATTTAAGGCTTTTGGGTAAACAAATTTAATAATTATAATAATAATGATAGCAATTCTAAATATATATTAACCCAAATATTTAAAATGCCGTTTAGAAATTTGTTTTTAAAATATAATTGTTTGTATTTTTTTTTGTTAATTTTTCATTTGTCTATTAAAGCTGCTCGTATATACTGATAGTAGTGGAAAAAAACACAACAATAAGCAATAATATTACGTGTAATTATATATATTCCGATTATTTAAACAAAACATGCCATCGTAAATATTTCATGTAACTCCTGCCACTCAATTGCATTAATAAATCAATTTTTTCTTAAATTGGAACATGCTTTTGAATTATTAATATTAAGTAAAAACATGCAAAAATACATATTTTAAAATTTTATTACATAAATTATTTTTAATTTTCTATTCATGCTAATTGTAATTTTTAACCATTATTTCAAATGATAGCGTCGCCAAGTGTTGAATTCCTTAAAGACATTTTTACAATAAAATATTCTCAAAAAAATTAAATAATCCTTACTGGAAATCTAGATATAAAAATTATTTTCTCTAGACTCATAGCAGGTCTTGTGTGTCAAGAATACCTTCAGAAGAACGTATATCACCTCTAGACCTGTAGCAAATTTTTTATGTGTGTAAAACGTCTAAAATCTCATCTTTGTGTAGAAAATCTTAGGAAGCACTTCCGTGTTACGAATACCTTTAGGAGGGTCTTCATTCTGACTTTTAATGACGCCCATCGATCCGTATGTCTGTACGTCTGAACCGAAAAGGTTACAACTGGTCCATTATCCTTAGCCTGAGTTCGAAGAGGGACAATTTGGGAAAATGACTAAAATTTTGACAAAAAAGCAGAAAGATTACAATTCCCTCAAAATATAGTGAACGTTTTAAACGAATTATGGCCTTCAAACGGCCAATGAAACCATCAAACGCTGCCAGAATGTTGCTCTGCGGTATTTTGGCCCATTCCCGGCGAAGCGCTTGCTTGAGGTGACCGACACTTTGATATATTTTAGTGCCAACCTTGCTTTCCAAAATACTCCAGACACAATAGTCCAACGGATTGGTATCCGCAGATTTTGGTGGCTATTGTGCGCTGGAAATAAAGCGAGGAACTTCATTTTGTAACCCTTCTTGGGTAGTGCGTGCTGAGTGCGGCCAAATGTTGGCGTGCCCAAGGCTTTAACACCATCCAGAATATTTTTCAGATAATATTCGGCATTTATTCTGATGCCACGGTCGATTAAAACGAGCGGAGAGCGACCATCGGCGGTTATGGCGGTCCACACCATCACCATAGCCGGCGCTTGAGTTCTGGTGGCCAACCGAAGTTGCACATTTTCAGCTGGACAACGAATGTTTTCTCATCGGAGAAAACCAAATTCGCAGATCACCACTTTCGGCCAAGCGAGTCTCTTTTGAGTCTATTTTCTTTCTTTTGCGGTGTAAGTTCTTGCACTGTTTGGAATTCGAATGGAATATTTTTCACATTTAAATATTGAAGTGGTCGGGAACCACGAAGATGATGCTCATGTTGTCACTGCTCAGGTTTAATTAGGAACTTCGATCTGGGACCACGATGATGATGTTCGAGATGTAGAAGGTTCCGCTGCTTGGGCTATGATCGGTAACTTTGATAAGAAGCGATCGGCTAACAAATGTGCGGCTTGCCTACGAGTAATAGATGAACGCCAACCGGCATTGACGCTCGGAGGTTAGTTAGTCGGACTATGCAACGGTCTACGACTATCTCTACGTTACTACTCTAGATTTCGGTTAGAACTGAGATCCCGAAGATCTAGTGGAAAATGTATTCATTTTCAGCCAACACTTCCTGTTAGTCAGAGGACAGTAAATGATTTCAAAATCGTAACACACCATTTAGGCAAGCCCCCCTGCAGTATCATGTAACCACAATAGTTAAGTCAATGAGAATTATACATCACATGTTATTAGGGCGATGATGGCAAATGAGCAACGATCCCACTTCATCAAGTACCTTCTTCAAAATTTGGAATAATTATAACTCTTATAAAATATTAAATAAGAGATTTTGCACATCGCAACATTTTTATTAACCCTAGGTCTGGTGTGAAAATGGGATATATCGGGTCCACTACCTATGGTAGCGCCTCTACAACAGTTCAAAATTGTGAATAGCCATTAAGCTCATAAAATACGAAATGAACATCCGATTCCTTACAAACTCGGAACATCTCAATATTTCATCAACACAAAATCTGTTGTGAAGATGATAGATATCGGTCCATGCCTTCTAGTATCTTTTCACAAACGGTCACAATTTTTAATATTTCCATTTCTCATAACTTGCGTAACAAGTTGGGGATTCTTCTAAAACTGGGTATATCTACATATTTTTCTTAATTAGAGGTCTGATGTTAATATGGCCCATCCTTTTCGTACCCACTCCCCAACATATTTTATTAAACTGACAAAGGGTATGTATATGTCGGCAAAATCAACCGGGCCTTTTTAACTTGTTAAAATATTTATTTATAATTCAAACTTTACTTATTCCATTTGAAATTCGAAAACTTTTGAATAATGTGCTACACCACACTGTGGTATCATGTCTTTCTTCTTTATACCCTCAGCCAAATGGCTACAGATGGTATATATCATTCGATCAAAACGTGCCTAGTCGAAGTAATGGTTTAAGAACCTAGGTCTCTTTGGACCAAATCCGTTTCAGAAAATTTGGAGTCGATCTAGCGATGTCCGTCCGTCTGTCTGGCTGGCTGGCTGGTGCGCACGAGAACTCTCGAAGGGTCCAAACTTGGTACATCGAATTATTTTTGTCAAATTTAGATCGAGCTCGGAGATGGGCAACATCGGTCCACTCCTTTTGGTACCTCCCCCACAAAAGATCAAAATTTTCAAATAATATATTTTTTTGCACATAAAGTCTGGTGTGAAAATGAACAATATTGGTCCACACCATCAAGTACCTCCCCCACAAATGGTCAAAATTTTGAATAAATACAACTCTCATAAAATGAGTCCAATTCTCTCATGATAAGAGTCCAATTGTCTTTAAATTTCACACATTCCAATATTTATATTAACCCAAGGTCTGGTGTTAAGATAGAATATATCGGTCCACTTCTTTTGGTACCTCCCCCACAAAATGTCGAAATTTTCAAAAAATATATTTTTTGCACAGAGAGCGAGAGAAAGGATTATCCGATTTTGCTTCAACTTTGCAAATCTTAATATTTGCATTAGTGCTAGGTCTGGTGCGAAAATGGACAATATCGGTCCACTCCTTCTGGTACCTCCCCCACAAAGGGTCAAAATTGTAAATAATTACAACTCTCATAAAATGTGATGTAAGAGTCCGATTGTCTTCAAATTTCACATATCGCAATATTTATATTTACCCAAGGTCTGGTGTTAAGATGGAATATATCGGTTCACTCCTTCTGGTACCCCCCCACAAATGGACGAAATTTTCAAAAATATATATTTTTTGCACAGAGAGAGAGAAAGTATAATCCGATTTCGCTTCAACTTTGAAAATCCTAAGATTGACGTCAGTGCTAGGTCAGGTGTGAAAATGGACAATATCGGTCCACTCCATCAAGTACCTCTCCCACAAAGGGTCAAAATTTTGAATAATTACAACTCTCATAAAATGTGATGTAACATTCCGATTGTCTTCAAATTTCACACATCCCAATATTTATATTTACCCAAGGTCTGGTGTTAAGATGGACAATATCGGTTCAATCCTACTGGTACCTCCCCCACAAACGGTCGAAATTTTCAAAAATACATATTTTTTTTGCACAGAAAGAAAAACGACGAAAAACAAGATGCTCAAAAAGAAATCGAAATAAGAATCCGACTCTCTTCAAATTTCACACATACAAGCATTTTTGCTAACACAAGATGAGGCTTGTCCGCAGGCAACATTCTTTGCGTCAATTGAATTTTGTACGGGAACAAATGCAAATCAATCCGTAGTAAAGTGGACCGAGCCATGCCCAACTGCTGAGAACGGCGTTTTTGGGATGTTCTTGGGGACCTCTCAACACTGGCTCGTACGACAGCGATATTCTCGGCCGATCGCCTTGGTCGACTTTTATATGGCCTCTTCGGATTAGAAAGAGCCTTACCAGTCGATTTTTCGTATAAACGCTTAATGGTGTTCTTAGAAGGCGCACTTCTCACATTTTTTAATGTTTTAAAAGCACGTTGAGTTTTCACAATTGACTTCTTCTGTTGAATGTAAATTTCAACTATTTCAGAGCGCTCGCGTGGCGTGTATTGTTTCATGGTAAAAATCTGCTTGGACTGACGCTTCAAACGCGGTATGTCATTAAGCGATGTGACATCTCTGTCAAAAGTTATGGCGTTGCCAGATGGGTCCGTCGAATATGTTCAACCCTGTATATATCTGCGAAACCCTTCTGGTACCTCACCCACAAAGGGACACAATTTTCAATACTTTTATCGTAAATTGCGAAACAACTCAGCGATTCTTTATAACTTGCGCTATCTAACAGCCTGTTCCACGATCTCGAAAGAAAATTTGTGCGAACGAAGGCTACTCACTCACTTTCGTATAAGAATGCGTTCCACTAACTTTCGTTCTTTCTTTCGCATAGCCTTACGTGATTCAGTGTTGCTAAATATTTTTTTGGAAAAATTAATCGCGAAATAAAGCAAAAAAACGTCAAATGTCTAATTTAAACGCGAAAAAGCAGCAGTGGCTCTGTCTCAACTGACATTTCAGTTGTAAACAAACAAATTGTAAATAAACAAACAAAATAAAATTTCTACTGATTGTGTTCAAACTATTTGTGCTCTTAGAAAATAAAAAAAAAAAGAATATTTCCGTAGCCCTATTTTTTATGGAGGAGGTTCGAAATGTGCCACGGAGGCATTTAAGAGATGCTTCGAATTTATTTGAAGTACCTAACAACCAGTAAGTATGATTGTATTTTTACATTTTTGAAATAATAAAAAATGATTTTTTCTAGGTTTGTGGCCAACTTTCGTGTGCCGAAGGAAGTTTTCGGGCTCTTTTGGATATGATGGAAGAGAAGTGGGTGCCCGGTTGCAGAACTACCCAAATCCGCCCTGATTTAAAACTTCTTCTGCTGCTTCCAAAAATTGGAACACAGGATTCTCCTCCATTTACTCAACTAGTGCCCGCAGCTGTGTAGTTGATGATTTTTTCGTGCTGGAATTGAGAAAATAAAAAAAATATATATTTGTTGTTCACATATTAAATTGCATTTATTATTTTTACTTACATTTTTGTTTCCATTTTCAATCAAGCAATGTTTATGTTAAAACAATTTTCCTTAATTGTTATTATACGATAGCAAACACACAAGTGACTGATTTTGACATTTGTGTTCGCATGCGTACGAAAGAAAAAAGATAGTGGAACGCAAAATTACACTGAAATGCTTACGTTTTCGTTCGCTTTGATTTTCGTGCAAATTTTCGTTCTGATAGATTTTAGTGGAACGGAAATCAGCTGTTTGTCGTGTAAAAGTTGTGCGAACGTGTTCTTTCGATATCGTGGAACTGGCTGTAAATATATGTCCCTCTGAGATGAATATGGAAATTAAGATTTCCCATAAATTGGATATAAAATGTTCGATTTTCTTATATATATTCATAATAATATTTATATCATATTTATTTAGGTCCGATATGAAATGGACAATATTGCACCATGCTTTCAAAATCCACTCCATAGAGGGTCAAGAGTTTGAAAATTCATAACAGAAGTCATAATATTTTTAAATAATCGAACAATGGCTGAGGGTATATACCTGTCGGCAAAACCGACCGATACTGTTTTACTTTTTTTTTTTTTTTTTTTTTTTGATGATCTTAATAGAATAAATTCCCATTATAAACGTTTATTTGAAGGAAATATCCATAGTGGTGTAGAGTATCAATCATTGGACTGAGGTCAATAATTTGTTAGTTATATATTTTTATTTTTCGATAAATGTGCCCTTTTTGCTTACAATGTTTTTCCAAAGATCACATACTGACGGATTTTTCCAGAACCTGCAAAAATCTACTCAGAAATGATTTAAAAGGAAATTTCAAGTAACTTTTGTCTCAGATGTTGAGGTAAAAATTCAATTCAGGAAAATTTTGTATCGGAAAGCCAAGCATTTAAACTTTACATGGGCAAGCCCTTGTTGTAGAGGCCCTAATTTTCCTAAGAGATTTTTTAAAAAATTTTAAATATTAAATTTTATTTTTTTTTATTTAATTTCCCATTTAATGTTATATTTATGGCAATGCAAATTCTGCCTCATCACTTTCCTAGGTTTATTTTCTATTACGTTAGGAAAAAAACACGTGGCAGATGTGTCAAGTTTAATTAATTTAATTAATTGTAAATTTAATTACATTAAAACAACGGCAAACTAAGGCGGCTGCTGACACCAAATGACAAAATGTCGAAACGTTCTTTTGTTGGCAAAAACAAATACCTGGTCACAAGTTACGGCTGAAATATTATCACCAATGTTGAGTTTAATTGAAATTATGTTAGGATGGAATTTAATTTAATTTAATTTTCACGATAATGAGGAAACAACAACAGCAATAACATACAACATAAGTCAATTTTTATTAATAAAAAATAAATAAAAAAAAAAAAATAAAACGATAAACGATTTTTAGTCAGGCGCAATAAATTTCACTTTGCTTTCATTATCAAAAAAAAAAAAAAAAAAAAAAAAATAATAATAAATATTTATGGCCATGATAAATAAATATTGACATTCCCATACACACGCAGAGACATACATACATAACTAAACAACAACTATGTATAACAATGTTTGTATGTAATGTAAATCAATAGAGATTTTGTGTTTTTTTATCCTCCCCTTCTGAGATATATTTTTTATTAATCTAAAAAAATCAATATTTTTAAATATTTAAAACAGTAAAACAATAACTATAACAATTTATATTCCAATTCCAAAAAACTTTGTTTAAATGTAACGACCACAAATGTATTAAAAATGCAAAAAAAAAAAAAAACAAAAACCATGTAAACAAAATTATATAAATTTATTTACTCTTTATAATCTGTGTTAACAATGTTTTCAATTATTATTATCCTTAATTAACAATTAATCAATTTATAGACGAAAGAAGCAAAAAAAACTATAACAAAAATTTATAAAAAACAATATCCACAAATTAATTAACAATAAAAGCCACAGTTTAAAAAATAAACATCAAAATATTTACAAGAGCAGTTATAAATATTTAAAAAGGAAATTAAATCAAAGCTTTCTCCCCCTCCCTACCCCACTCAAATCATATGGTATTAGTTACAAAGTTCCCCTCCTCCAAAAACCCATTCTTCGATGGGGCTAGGCCAGTTTATATTTATATTATTAATCGCATTATATAAATATACAGAAATTAAAAAAAAAACTACAACTACAATAATTGATTGAAAAAAAAAATAAATAAAAAACCAAAAACATTAAATCGAACATTTATTGTTGTTTTTTAAAATTACAACAACAAACTAAATCAGCCGCAGTTAAAACACAAATTAAGTAAAACAAAAAAAGAAAAAACCAAAAACAAACAAATGAAGGTAATTCGTAAATAATTAAGCGAAAGTTAAATAAGCATTAATAAACTCTTTACCAAAAACAAATACAACAACAACAAATCCAAAAATAAAAAGGGAAATTGTAAGTTAATGAAAAAAAAAAAAAACAAAAATGATAAGCAGAACATTTACGACAAATGGAAATAAAAGAAAAGAAAAAAAAATTATGAAAACAAATTAACTACCAACAAAAGAAAATGGAAAAACAAAATATTTTACTTTTAATTTTAGAAATAAACTTAAATAAAAAACAGCCGAAAATATTTTTATTTAATAGAAATTTTGGAAGGTGGTAAGTGTGGATGTAATAAAAAAATTTAAAAAGATATTCTAGCTGAAACCAGAATTTTGAAATTATGCATGTGGGTTAAAGTTGGTGTGGAGAGGTGAGCTAAGGCTTAATTTTTGCAAATTCGAACCATAAGTGTACATGAGGGACCAATAGGTAGGGAAATGTCATCCAATGTATTTTGTAAATGTGATCAAAAAAAGCACTAAATGTATATCAGTACGTAGCTCGAAAGTACCTCTGCCAAAGGAGTGAACCAGAAGGAGTGAACCGATTTTGCCCATCTTGTGAAATTGGGTGTGAAATTTGAAGACAATCGGAGTCTTCACATTTTGCAATTTGTAATTATTCAAAATTTTGATTATTTGTGGGGGAAGTACTTGATGGAGTGGACCGATATTGTCCATTTTCACACCCAACATAGCATTGACGCAAATACTACGATTCGCAAAGTTGGAGCAAAATCGGTTTATAGTTTCTCTTTCTGTGCAAAAAATATATTTGTTCAAAATTTCGACCTTTTGTGGGGGAGGTACCAGAAGGATTGGACCGATGTTGCCCATCTCCGAACTCGATCTAAGTTTGACGAGGGTTATCGTGCGCACTTGCCAGACAGACGGACATCGCTAGATCGACTCCAAATGTTCTGAAACGGGTTTGGTCCAAAGAGACCTTGGGTCTGAAACCATTATTTCGACTAGGCATGTTTTGACCGTATCAAATGATATATACCCTCTGTAGCCATATGGCTGATGGAATGAAATGGAAGTATATATATATATATATATATATATATATATATATATATATATATATATATATATATATATATATATATATACTTCCATTTCATTCCATCAGCCATATGGCTACAGAGGGTATATATCATTTGATACGGTCAAAACATGCCTAGTCGAAATAATGGTTTCAGACCCAAGGTCTCTTTGGACCAAACCCGTTTCAGAACATTTGGAGTCGATCTAGCGATGTCCGTCTGTCTGGCAAGTGCGCACGATAACCCTCGTCAAACTTAGATCGAGTTCGGAGATGGTCAACATCGGTCCAATCCTTCTGGTACCTCCCCCACAAAAGGTCGAAATTTTGAAAAAATATTTTTTTTGCACAGAAAGAGAAACTATAAACCGGTTTTGGTCCAACTTTGCGAATCGTAGTATTTGCGTCAATGCTATGTTGGGTGTGAAAATGGACAATATCGTTCCACTCCATCAAGTACTTCCCCCACAAATAATCAAAATTTTGAATAATTACAACTTGCAAAATGTGAAGACTCCGATTGTCTTCAAATTTCACAACCCAAGGTCTGGTGTTAAGATGGGCAAAATCGGTTCACTCCTTCTGGTACCTACCCCACACAAGGTCAAAAGTTTAAAAAAAAAAACAACAAAAAATATGCACAGAAAGAGAAGCGATAATCAGGCTTTGCTCCAACTTAGCAAATCCTAATATTTTCGTCAGTTCTAGGTCAGGTACAAAAATGGATGATATCGGTACACTCTATCAAGTACCTCCCCCCAAAAGGGTAAAAATGTTTAATAATTATAAGTCTCATAAAATGTGATGTAAGAATCCGATTGTCTTAAAATTTCACACATCCCAATATTCTCATAAGCCCAAGATCTTGTGTTAAGATGGAATATATCGGTCCACTCCTTCTGGTACCTCCCCCACAAATGGTCGAAATTTTGAATATCCATTAAAACGCGAAATTAAGATCGGATTCCATTTAGACTTGGCACATATGAATATTTCTATCAGCACAGGATCTGTTAAAAAAAAAAAACGGTAGCGATCGTACCATTCCTCCTGCTACCTCCCCCACAAAGGGATGAAGTTTTGAATAACCAAAACGTTTATAAAATCTTCAGGTTCTCTTTATATTTCACACATCTCATTATTTCCACTAACAAAACATCCATTGTGAAGATGGGCTATATCGGTCAACTCCTTCTGGTACCTCCCCCACAAAGGCTCAAAATTTTGAATATCCATGAAGCTCATACAAAGAGAAATTGTCATCCGATTCTATTCAAGACATCCCATCCAAAAATGTCCTTTAACACAACACAGTCCAGTCATATTAATTTAGGTGCGACACGAAATGGCCAATATTGACCAATTTCCTTGGAACCAACTGCATAAAGGGTTAAACATTTGAATAATCATAACAGAAGTCAAAATATTTTAAAATAATCGAACATTGGCTGAGGGTATACCTCTGTCGGCAAAACCACTTTTTTACTTGTTTAATATAATTCTTATCGATGTCATATAATGCACTATACAACAATGTTATTTGGTACAAGAGGTACA